CAGAGTTCCAAAGAGTTTTGGGCAACTGAATAGGTCTCCACAGACCTACAACTTTTCATGAACCCCTTATGTCACCCTGTCAGCTGTGATAGCAGATTGGTCAGAATGGTCGCCACAGTTCACAAATTCTGTACCCTAAGGAAGAGAGACTGACCTTCTATCTCTTCAGCTACTGTAAGCCATGATAAGAAAAGCAATAATTCAGGCCAGCAGATGGCATAGTGGTTAAGTCTCTGGACTCCCACATGGTCAACCACAGTTCAAGTCCTGGACCAGATGACTTGAAACTCACACTGGGGGTGTGTGTGTGCATGTCCAAGATCCCAGGAGGTGAATGGAGGAAAAGGGAATGTTGTGTGGTGCTTTACCAGTTTCCAGTTGGATTTCACTTCTTGGAGTATTCTTATTTGTGTCTCTCTTGATTTGGTTATTTGTAGCCCAATTTTTCTCAGGCCCTCTGTAAATTTGGTTAATAAGAAAATATAGCATTTATTTAAAAATCTCTTTTTGAACACAAATCATAAACAGCATTGAAGCTTTAGACAGCACATGTTGCTCCTCCTTTGTGTCACCACGTCATGCTGTCATTAATAATTAATCTGCATCATCCACATACTAGCTACCCCCCTCTCTCCAAGGGTAACAATTTTGGCGCATTTTTCGTCCATGTGTATAGTTCTGGAAATGACCAAAGAGAGGAGGAGTATTCTTTAAAAGGGCATTCTTTCTGTGCATAGGCTTATCATCCATCTGTGTTCACAAAGAATGAAGTGTTCTGCTGTTTACCCCTGATCTTGCAACACTGAAGCATTCCTTTCAGCTCTGTAGGCACCTAAAAATCAAAGTCCATAAATATCAATGTATGTAGGATGCACTTTTATCCCTGGTTATATTAAAAGCACAGCAACATCTGACCCAGATTAGTATTTTCTAGGATTAGAGTGAATAGATTTTTCAGTTGCTTTGCAACTATGTAAAAGTTTATTGAAATACACTATTTAATATTTCCTTTTCTCAGTCATGTAATAAAGAATGTTCTTGAGAATAACATTCATTATTTGTGATACTAAAAGAGAAATTTTCTGTAGCACCTAAACTCCTCCCTTTCTCCCACAGTCTTTCCTGTAACACACTGCCGGCTGCTCCAAAACATGTCTGAAGGTGACAAGGAATCTTTAATAGAACCCTAGAGCTGTACTGCACTGTTAGTCAAGGCCGGGTGATACTGGAGACATACCCATATGCTTTCATGGGAGTGGAATTCTGGGGAAGGGCAGAGACCACTGTCACCATTGACAATAGACCATAGAATGTGGCATGAAAGCTCTGGGTTCTGCGCATAGGACAGAGCATTCCTAAGCATATTCTGGTAGGATGTTCACATTTGCTGTTATGGGCAGAATGTTTGCATCTCCCCCAAATTCATAAGCTGAAGCCCTAACTTGTAATATGATGGAATGTGGAGGTAGGGCCTTTGGGAGAAAATTACATGAGGGTTGGACGCCCATGATATGATTAATTTCCTTATAATGAGAGGCAGAGAGACCAGAGAGTGCTCTCTTGCTCTCCACCATGTGAAGAAACAGCAGGGAGGCAGTCATTTGCAAACCAGGACAAGGACCCTCACCAGGAACTGATTGGCGGGCAGGTCAATCTTAGACTTTCTAGCCTCAAGCACTGTGCAAAACAGATTCTTGTTTAAACCACCCAACTTACAGTATTTTGTATGGTAGCCCAAGGTGTCTAAATAAGACACCTACATATTCTTCTTCTTTTTAAAAAGTTTATGTATTTATTTTCTCCATGAGCTAGAGAAACAGA